TGTCAGCCCAGCTGCTCACTGACTGTGCAGGAAGTGCTGCACCTGCCACTGGTCCCCAGCAGTGGATGCTTCCTCGAGAAGCAGAGGATGTCTTTCTGTGTAGCTGTGTAGCCACTCTTTTTTTTCCATTCTACCAATCCCCAGGGAATTTGTGCCTCACAAATTTGTGCCCCACATTGACAGTTTGTGAGGGCCAGTGGTCTGGGACAGAGCAGGACACCCGAATGCCGAAGGGATGGGCCCTGCTGGGCATGGGTGCAGGTGCAGGCGGGAGGCAGCAGCTGGCAGGGAAGGAACCGATGGGAGGTGTTGCACAGTTCATCTCCTGCAGCTTCACCACCCAGGCTGGTGTGAGAATGGCCAGGCTTCCTCCTCATCATGCTTTTAATCTCATTTTTGTCCCCTGAACACAAACCCTGGCAACAAATCCCAGCCTGTAGTGCTTGTGCAGGAGGTGTTTGCCCCATTGGAAGATCAGTTGCCCTTGACCAGTCAAAGGGGTTGGAAGCAAGGGAAACACAGCTGCTGGGGGACTGAATGTGATCAGTAGGAGCCTTTTGTTAGCTTTGCTGCATTGTGCAATTATGGTATTTTTACTGATTAGATTGTGGTAATGCTCTGTGTGTACACGGTGCTCTGAAACATGGAAAGAGAACTGTTCTGTGCTGCGAGGGGAATCTGATATAAAAGGGTCCAGGCAGGATGAAAAGGATAAGGGCTCAGTCTTTGAACTTCAGGCTCAAGCAGCCATACACCTGAACAGGATGTTTTTAAGTGTCTGCTGAATGTGGCTGCTAGTTTGCAGCTAGTTTACATTTCTATTAGTTTCTGCTTTCTAGTTACTGAGATAGGCTTCTTACATAGTAAACCCTGTTGTACTTATTATATGTTGTGCTAGATAAATGATTGATGTAACTTGCAGGTAGGAACTGTGTTCTTACTCACTCTACCTAGTAGATTGCAGTTTCTATATAAAGGCCTTGTACACTTCTCATTCTGTGACCCAGTTTGTCAACTTGTTCAGCAGTGAATGCAAGTAAACAGCTGATTTCCCATATATATAGCTGAAGATGTCCACTACTTTTAATTAATCTCATGTTTACTTGAGAATCAAAGAACTGTGGGTTTGCTTGGTTATTTTTTTAAATTTATTCATTATTATACACATTCCTTGCTTATTTTCTTCATATAATTTCCCTGTCCAAATGAACTAATAGTGGCCTTTTTCATTTTTTCTAAGACCACCCCGTCATACCTTTTCCTGATGCAGCCTCTCTGCATTGCCCTTTTTTATTCACTTGTTATGTTGTTTAAAACCATAGATTTAAACTGATCTAAAGGGATGTAACATTTAGCTAGGTACCACCTATTTGCATTGCACATTGCTCCCCACCTTTTCTGGACAGTGGGAAATGTACTTTGCTCCTTGATAGCTACAGTGCATCACATAAGTGTCCTCATTGAACTAGCTGTGGTTTCTAGCACTGCTCCCCAAGAGATTAAATCTTAATCAGAACCTGTCCCTGAACCACATAGAAGTGGTTTAAACAGTGGCTGCTCTGCATATTACCTTCCTCTCATCTCTTTGGATTCCGCTGTGGCACTCTGGTCCCTAATTAATAATCTGTCATGCCCCTCTGGAATCCCTGTCTTTTCTAATTATTATTAACCTATTTTATTTGTATTACTAGAGCACACAGAGGTTCCAGTTGGACACTGAGGCCTCTTTGTACTAAGAGCTGTGGATACATATAAGAAACAGACAACCCCCATTAATGAACCAATGGTGTTGGTCTATGATAGGAAAAGGATGAAGCAAATACCGGAGAGGAAAATACATAACCTCTTTATTTCACTGGCTTTGTGTACATGCAACCTACTTTTTATTAAGCTAAGCAATTTGGGAATATTGCTTAGCTTAATAAAACTACTTTTATATATCCTTTGTCTCTGTACAGATTAGCTGTCTTTCAGGTGGACTAGGACTTACCTGCCTGTGGTCTGCTTACATGATGTTCTGGTACATTTTGAATAGTCTGTGAGGCTATAAATGTGATCTGTGTGAGAGGTCATGCTCCTGAGCTTCCTGTAACTATAAAGGATATCATGTACCATATGTGTGATTTTATCACAGGCCTGGCCCACATAACTGCGCTTCAACATTCTGTCACAGGGCTGGTTTTGTTCCTCAGGTCCCTTACTGTGTTTCTCAGCTGTCTGTAGGAGAAGGTTACCAAAATCACATTAAGATTTTCCAGGTAAATAATGGATTTGCTTCATTTTATGGGATCATTAATACATTATATTTCTAGCAGAATGCAAATGCAAAGATATTTCTAAATTCTTTACCCATATGCTTCTGTCTTCTCTTGTATAAAAATGCTTGCAGCCACAGAGCTGAGAAAATGTACCCTGCCTCTTTTATCATTCCAAAGTCTTTTCCCTTGTTTTGAAGGAAGAAAAGACATTTCTAAAGATTTACTGTAACTTATTTTATTGTTTTGAGGAAGATGATTTTTAACGGAAAACATGCATTAGAGTGCTGGTGGGGCTAAGGTCTCAGTGGTGTACTTGGCATGTATTTTAAGCTTCTAGACCTGATAGGGAACAATTTGCTGGGTTTGAGTTTTCTTTGTTTGTTGTTTCTTTAATCTTCAATTGAAAATCATGTCTCTCCTTACCCTCTCCCCTTTCTTCCCCATAACCCCCCCCCTTTTTTGGGGCCTCTTTTTTCCAGTTATTATTCAGTCTTTTATGAATTATGTGCAGCCTCTTATGAGCTGGTTGTACATGTCTGGGTTTCTTAGAATTACTGAGTTTAATGTGTTGGAGACTTTGGGACATTTTGTGTTAATGTGGATTACATTATGAGACAAGACATTTACTTCTTTTAAGAGAAACCTGGATTTACTGTGATTTCTTGGGAGACATTATTCATGTTTGAAGAGCAGAATAATGTTAAGGTTTCTCAGAATGAAAAGAGGCCTAGATGAACAAAGAAGAGAAAAAGGAAATGTTGGATACAAAAAAGAGACAATGAGGTAGCACGTGTAAAAGGAGATAAACCCCAGTTATTATGCTAATAGTTTAAGATAAAACAGTTATAAATTGTAATTATATCATTGTTGTGTAAATATTAAGAACAAATAAGAGAGAGCATACTGGGAGCATCAACATGGCAAAAATTCCCAGCATCTTATTCTAACAAGGGATGTTGGCATGATAGCTTTAGATTTCTTACTAGAATTAAGAAATAAATTAATAGAGTAATCAAAAAGTGTTTAAAGGAAGAGACATGAAGGTCATGGTGTTTTCAGGAGGGCTCTCTCACCTCTTGTGTCCTTCAAACTTACTGAATTTATCTTTTGGCCTGTAGTCCTTCCATAGGGCTTCTTTAGGATTCCCTTTATGTTTAAGTGTAGTAAAGGGTTATTAAGCCACAGTGATTTATCATAGTACCAAACAATTTGAGGAGTTTGGAGGGTGTGTGTATGTGTCCTTTCCTTGAGGAAAGGAAGATTCTTCAACTCATATCATTATCAAATTCCTTGTATTACAGACTAGTGGCTTTCATTAAGACTCACCTGAATTTTGTTTAGATAGTGACTTGTGTTTTAAATTTGTTTGTGCCAGGCTCACCCTGTCATGCTGTCACATTTTTGTGGTATCAAAAATTACCTCAGTGGTAATAATTCTGTATCAAAAAGTACCTCTGTGGGTCAGAGGTATCTTTGTGGGAAGGCACTACCTTGGTTTCAGCTTGACAGAATGTTTGGAGTCAACCTTACGTGAAGTTCCCAGTGCTATGCAGGTGGATGGTGCTGTGAGTTTATGTAACCTTGGCACACATGCGTGTAACAAAACCTCCTGTGAGTGTAAGGCATGATCAAAGGCCGTGACACTGTGTGTTGCAACACCTCTGTTTCCAGCGGCTTGCCAGTGCACTTCTGTGCTGGGCTTCCCCCTTCTGACAGAGCCAGGTGTCCAGTTTGGGCAATGATTTGTTTGCTAAACTACTTCACAAAAATCAATGAACGTATTGTGAAACGACGCTTATGTGCACACAGAATTTAGTCAAGCTGCGGTAGGTTAAGCCACGTCCCTGAAACTCTTGGGGCAGGCTGCTTTTCCATGGAAGGGCTACACTTTGCTTTTGGGGTCTGCAGAGGTTGAGCTGAAGGCACCGTGAGTGCGGCTGCAGAGAGCAGACGGCTGCCTTGCCAAAAACTGTCATAGATTCAGTCAAGGTTTTCCTCTATGTGAAGCTGTTTTTCCTCCGGGGTGAGAAGGGGCTGTTTAACAAACCACAGATAAAGGTCGTTAACATCAGACCCTGGAATTGGTAAATTATTAACTCCGGGCGCTGGTATTTCCCGCGGAGGTCTTCGGAGCATTTCTGATATATTTCCCTTTAGCAAACCGATACCCAAGGGTGGACCGGAGCCACAACGAGGGCACCGACGGCGGCACCGGCCACCCGCGGCGTGCGCGTTGTGCCCCGGGCGCGGTCACTGCCTGTCCCGAGCAGGGGCTGTCCCCGGCTGCCCGCTGGGCGCTCGCCCTGCAGCCAAACCCATCACGGCACTGGGCTCTGTGCAGCAGCAATTTGAAAAATTCAGGAGCGCGGCGAGGCCCAGGGCCGCTCCCGCCCGCAGCCGGGGCGGGGCGGGGCTGGGCTGGGCTGGGCAGGGCCGAGCGGGGCCGCGCCTCCTTCCTCCCTCCCTTCCTCCCTTCGCCCGCCCCGCCGGGGCAGAGCCACCCGCGACCGCGCCTGGCCGGGGCACCCCTGCCCGCGCTCCTGCCCGCCGCCCCCCGCCCTCGCACGCCATTTCCTGTGCTCCGTGTTTACTTCCCGGTTCACAGCCTCCAGTGGGAGCGATCGGCGCCGCTGCCTGCGGAGGGAGCGGGAGGTGAGGGGAGCGGCGGGTGGGGGACGCCGCTCCGGTGCGGCGCGGTCCCGTCTCCTCCCCGCGCTGAGCCGCCCGCCTCTTGTCTTGCAGGTGTACCCGGAGCCGCGGACGGAGGGCGAGTGCCTGAGCAACATCCGCGAGTTCCTGCGGGGCTGCGGTGCTTCCCTGCGCCTGGAGGTGAGTCGGGGCTGGGGGCGCCCGGCTCGGTCCCGGGGGCGGGGGGTTTCTCGCCCTCCCTTTGTGCCCGGGGACGCGGCTGACAAGATGGTGGCGGCCGCCCCTCCCCTGGCTGCGGGCCCGGGGGGCTGCGGGGAAGTCGGGGCTGCCGGGGCGCTGCCCGATGCGGCGCGGTGGCGGCCGCGCCCCGGCAGGGACCGCGTGGAAGGAACGCTCGGGGAAGGGAAGGGAAGGGGCGCCCGTGGAGGGAAGGGAAGGGAAGGGCCGCCCGTGGAAGGGCCGCGCCGCTGCTCGGGCAGGGCGCGCCCCGTCCCTGTGTCACTGCAGCCACGAGTGCCGGGGCCGGGGTTTGCCTGGCCCCGGGGCGCTTAAAACCACTGCTGCTCCGTCCGAGTGAATTCTCGGTATGTATACATTGTGTCCGCTTTATTCGTGGAATCGCTGTGGAAGCGCAGCGGTCGGCTTAGAGAAATAAAGTTGCCTACAACCGAGCGAAATGCTAATTGAAGAAAATGGCAGGTGCTGTTTCTTCTATTTAAATTTGCGTTACATAAAAGCCCTGCAAACTGCCATCTTTTCCGAACGTGTGTTAGCAGGGTTGCAAATTAGGTTCTCGAATATTGCTGGTATATTTAGCTATAGCAAGTACATACTGCTGTCGAGTTTACTTGATGTTGGCGTGTGGGAAGAAACTGATGAGATTAAAAACAGGTTTCAGCTTCTCTGCGTTGGGAAGTGAGAGATATTGTCATTTCAGTTCTTGGAGACATTCTTTTTGGGTGGAAAAATTGGTTTCTTGTGCTTCTGGACTTAAATTAATGTAGTGTTGCCTTAATTAATTTGCAGGGTCTTATGGTACCTCTGGTCTTGCCTGTGATTTTGCCAGGCAGTAACTGAATGTCATTAAAAAAAGCCTCTGATTGCCTTCCTGAGGCCTCTAAACAGTGAAGTATCATTAGTGAAATAAATGATACTTGCAGGACTTGCCCTTTATCTTAGGTTCCCTCATGGATAAAGATGGAAATTAAGACTGCTTTTAGCACTCCTCTTGTGAGTAAGCCCTTAGATTTTTACCTTCCTTCCCTTCTCCTCGCCAAATACATAGAAAATCCCTTAGGATTTCTTGGGAGTAAAACCAAATTAAGTTCTGAAATACTCAGAAACCAGGTTTTGGGGTTAACAGTGCATGATGTCAAGCATTCTTTTTGCTTTGGAGCAGTTGTCATGCCCATTTGTCTTTTCTAGGGCCACATTGAGCTTTTCATGCTTTGAACATTCATGGGTGTGAGCAGATCCGAACTTCAGGTGGTAGATATTCATGAACTGGGGAGGACGTACTTCTGATCTCAATGCAGAAATAAATTGAGTGTTGTAAATGTTAAAGAGGGGGAAAATGGCATTAATATAGTCTCCTCTCCTTTACTAATTTCCTTTATCAGGTCTCTCGAAGCTTGAAGCCATTGCGATTGTGACAGGCTGGGAATAGTTACAGTGTTGCAGTTTTGCCTCTTCTAGTTGCAAAAAGCTTTTGTCAGCTCTTTTCCTTGGGGTGCCGAGAAAATGAAGAAAAATGATTGAAAGAAAAGATAATTTTGCTGAGAACCTGAGTATCTTTGGGAATAGTCAAATTGTTAACCTGGCCTCAGGGGCTTCTCAGCAAGAGTGCCGGAAACACCTTTCATATGTGGAGGTAACTGGCAGCAGTGGCTTCCAGCTCAGCATGTTGGAACAGGAATTACTCCCAAGCTACCAGAGAGTTCAGAAGCTGGCAAGAAGGGGCACAAATGCTTGGGCTTGTGGAGCTCTTGTGTGTGTATTTATGGTTTGTACGTTGTCTGTTCCCTGTTGTTTTCTCATTAATTTTTCCAAGCCCCTAACTGTGGCCAAAGATGAGAGCAATGGCAGCCTGGATTCACCCAGGGAGTAGCTGGCAGGGCCTCCTGGCCATCCGCTGCTCGTGGGCTCTTTCCCCTCCCTCTGTTAACAAGGTGTGAGTCAGCCCTGGAGGATCTGAGCCTTCCTCACCGTGGGAACTGGGGAGATGCCACAGCTCCCTGTGCAGGGTCTGTGTAATGCTTCCTGAGCCTCAGCCAGGGGGTAGAGATTGCGTTGAGCACAGAGTGTGAGGAGCATCTCTGCAACCGCTTTAGGGGATATTGTCAGAGAGGGCAGATGAGCTAACAAGGAGTTAGTGGTGAGTACAAATATTTGACAAAGGGTTAGATGTCTATCTGGTATCTTAAATACTAGAAACATTTGGACAATATGGGTATCAGAGGAAGCTCTAGGGTGGTGTGGGGAGATGTGACATTATTCTGTGCACTAATGTGGTACTTTTCCTAATAAGTATTCCACAATGTGGAGATTTTTGTGACTTATAAGGGTTGTGCTTGAGCCTTACATTGAATGTGAATTATATGTAGTTGGATCAGATGATTTCTCCGTGTGTGATTTTGTGAGCCTGCTGAAAGCGTGGTAGTGGTTTGGTTAGCCCAAGATCAGCATTGCACAAGCACTTTTTGCTCCCAGATCTGAGCTCATCTTGGAAGCAGTGGTGGTGTGTTTTTATGAAGCCATTTTAGAGCTCCTTGCCTTGCTGGAGCTCTGTAGGTCTCCAGTTTAGGGGACTTTGTTACAGCATGATTGAGAATTTGATAAACTGCTGTGGTTAATGGAAAGCTGCACAGCAGTAGATGGCTTCTTAGAGATGCTTTCATCTGCAGATCCCTTTTTTAGAGGATGTGATAACTTTGGTTGCTTTCCTACATGTAAAATAAGGGGCAGAGATGAGAAAATCTGTTGGTTTGGAAAAGTGCTGGTGTCTACAAGTTGTTCTTGTTTTCTTCCTCTTGCTTCCCAGTAAGGTTGGGTTGTTAGAAAGATAATAAAACATTCAGAAAGGGTATTTCAAATTCTAATGAGGAGGATTGCTGTTCCTCAGAGGAAACCAATGGCTCCCTTCCCACACCCCCCAGTATTTTTTGATATTTAAGTTTTCCATAGAAAAGAGAATACTTAATTTGGAGCTTGCAGCAATCTTTGTACAGCAAAGCATAATTCCAGAAATAACCAGAGGAATGTGCTGCAAGTATTGGGTTTTAAAAATTATTTTTAACACAGTTTTCTTGTATGCGGATACAAGGAACTGAGACCCATTAATGAAAAAATGTTCCTAAGACCTCCACCAGGGACTGAATTTCCATATTTTTCCCTTCTGAAAGCCATTAGTGCATCCTTAGAATAATTGTAGTGTTGAGTAGTTAATTCTACTTGGAGCCTTCAGTGCTGTTGCTGAATGCCTGTATAGATGGAGGGGACTGTAGAACAGCCACCTGTGTTGTCAGTTCGCATCTTACTGTGCACCTTTTCCTTAGGCAAATGGGATATTTGTTAGCTACTGTTCTTGCTATTTTTGCTTTAAAGGCTGTTTTCTCACCCAGTTTTCTCTTTGGGTGGGAAGACATTTAACTGTACTCCCTTCTGAGGAGCATGACCTGCTTTTCCAAACAGGGTCCTAGATACTTATTGTACCTGGGGGGCTCAGTTCTAGAAGAATGTGGTGGATATGTATAGGTAAGAAGGAATTCACTGCAGGTATATCTTTCACAGAAATCTTGCAAAGGAGAGAAAAATGAAAAAGTGATGGCTTATTTCTACCTGAGCCCTAGCAAGTTTTGCCATTGTGATTATCTTGTACCTGTGTCATGTTACTCTAGTTTTGTTTTCTTTCAAAGGAGCTTGAGCTTCCCAAATATAATGCTGTCTTTTCTTATTCTATGACCAGAGCTGTTTGACAGCTTGCATTTGCCCTGCAGAAATCACTGTATAGTTCAACAGCAGTGAAGTTTGTTGGGGGAGCAGTTGAATGTAGAATAATAAACAAAAATAGGTTAATGGAAAACCATGTTAGTAACTGCTGTTTAAAGGGCAGAATGTTTGACATATCCTGTGAACAATGCCACAGTCTGTGTGATCAAATTCCATAAGTAGCATCTTGCAGGGGTTTTTTGCTGGCTTTCAGAAAATAAAAGATTAATGCTTGCTTATCTGAATGTTAACAGGTTTCTTAGCTCAAAAATATTTTGTATTTTTGACTTCTTTACTGATGGATGAGATAGCAACTGCTCAATGGAAAAAGGGAAGCCATGGATCTGAGAACCCTTTCTCTACCTGCTAAGAGACCTGCTTGCCTCTAGGATTCAAGGATGGTCATTTTATTACAAAGGCAGCCATGCCAAGCCCAGGAGTTTATTTCTATAATAAACTAACCAAAGAAGAAATGAAGCAAACCTGGCAATCTTACACAGTGTGAGATCCTGTGCTTGTGTATTATAAAATCTCTTGAACAAGAGAGATTTGCCCTTAAGGTTCAGAACACTGCATGCAAATTTGTAAAATAAAATTCATAGCACTCAAGATTTAATCAAGATATACAAATGCCTGTAAATGGCTATAATGGAGCTCCAGCCTTGGGGAAAAGTTTGTGAGGGGTGCCAGTGTCACTCTGTTAGAGCAGGTAATCTTAGGGGAGCAAGGGAACCTGTCTGTCTTCTTCCCTCACACCCACACCTAACACAGCAGTTTATCTGCTAGGTGATGCTTCTTTCCCCTGAGCCTTGTTGCCCACTTCTTTAGATCATTAAGGCTACAATCCTACTGCCAGTGTGGACTTGGAAAGGTATTCTGCCAGTTGACTTTCAAAGACCTATTTGTATAAGGAAGGTGCAGAGCTGTGCTGCTAATGTGGATGGACTTGGCTGACATTCACTTGTTGGTGAATTAGGAATAAATAGGTTTCTAGTACTGAAGGCCTTCATGCCAGTCTTAGGATTATGATACAAAAATTAAATCATCTACATATCCTTTCAGCCCTTGTTCAGACTATGATCTTTATTTTGTCAAGAACAATATTCCTTAGATTTGCTCCTGGGTTTATTCCAACATAATGCCTTTCGCTCCCAGAAGGTGTGCTGCCAAATGCCTTCATGATTCTTAAATGT